AGTTCGCTTTGCCAGTAATAGACTACCTAACAAACCCACTCCCACCTTGTCACACACAGCTTAATCAGAGAGGGGCGAGAAAAAGTTAGGCGCAAGCGTTCTGTGGTACAGTTGGCGGCATATAAAAACTGGCCTAATAGACGCACAATGATAAATATAAACATTCCAACTTTAAAATGTAATTTGTATTTCAGAGAGCAGGTCTACTTCGACGGGTATAAATTATGGTGATTTAGAAGGATGTGTTCCAAGTGTGGTAGCTAGAAGGAGGGGATCTCTCTGTCAGCACCGCCATCTTCTATTCCTTGGATGGATGAGGATTGTGCTTGATAATTTTTGTTCCCTGAGGAATTCTTACAGCTGCAGCAGCAACAGTTGAACTTAGTGCACAAAATAAGAAACATTTAGCGGGAATGTGCACACGAAAAAAGTAAATAAAACGGATTATATTTAACACCCTGGCCGATTTAGTTGTTTACAAATTCGACAACCTGGTTACAAGCGTGTAAATACCATACAAATCTTTTTACCCGCTTGCTTGCACAAACTGCGGCCGTCGTAATCAATGACACAAACCCTAATTAACCTATTCGCCCCTCTGTGCTTGATGTGGGTCATGGGGCGGTCGAGTCCGTCAATCGCGGGATTTTGAATACAGAATGTTGCTAATCGGGGACGGTTTGAATGCACTATGGCGGTTAAATTTAAATTTCTTTTGTGCCCACCAGTACGTCCGTTTTACGGCTAAATACTTTGCCTTCTGAGGGCTATGGATAGCTAGCATAAATTATTATAAACCGTTTAATATTGTTACAAGGGACGTGATATATAAACATTTCAGTGAGGTAGAATGAGTAAAATAAGGAAGACCAAAATGGTGGCGGAAAACTAACAGATGCGCATCTGCGGAAAATGCATTCCACAAATATAGCGTTCTTTCTGGTTAAGGAATGTTTGTAATGTTGCATGTATTGAGACTGAAACTGCCCGTCTATACTAAACTAAATTCACTTTTTAAAATGCAGTAGGTAAAAGATTGAGAAAGCCACATGGAACGTGTAGTGCACCAAAAAATGCCCTTTCAGTATCTTGTAACATTGGATTTTATGGTTGTTTTAACCTTCTGAACGTCCACTTGTTTAACTGACTGCACGCCTGTTTCACAAACCGTTTTGGTGAGTTCCACGCTGCACTTTTCTCGCTCTCTCTGATTCGCTTCCTGTTCTTGTAGCCTGCACAATATACGTTGGGTTCAGTTGCCTCAGACTTCTATACTGTCGTATTTGGCACGTCTTACGTGTCCTTGCTTACCGACTAGTATCCCAGGTTCAGCCAAACAATTGGTGACCCCCAGCAGGAACATTCCGCCCGCCATTTGCATTTTCATTCTGGTGCGCTCGTTCTAGTGATTTTGTGCTTCATTACTTGTGATCATATTGTTTTCTCACCTACCACATATTTTATCTGCTGTTGCAATGGGTAATCT